GTCCATAAGCAAAGAATGGTAACTTTTAAAACATTGAAATTCTGGAAAAGGTTTAAGACATTTAAGAATCATGAAGGCATTTGGCAGCGCACCTTCTGGGTTAGAAAGACATTGTGTTGGAATAAACCCAGGAGCAAATCTAAGGAATATTGTTCTTGACAAAATAAAGACCATAGTCTGAACAAGGGCTGAAAAGATAGGTAGATGATTTCATTTCTGTATCATTGTCCTAAGACTGGCATAAAGGCCTTTAGTACTAGAAACCTATTTATTCCTAATTCACTGACAAGCGAATGTCGGCCAAGTCCATCCACACTAGCAGCATAGCTCTACGCCTTCCTTATACAAATAGGTCTTTGAAAGTCAGCTGGCAGAATACCTTTCCAAGTCCACACTGGCAGTAGGATTGTAGCCATAATGGTCTAAAGAAGTGGGCAAAGCTCAAGGGAAAGAAGCATCACCTAACAGATGAACTGCTGTGCAAGGGGTGGGTGTGAGGGAAGGAGACAGACAGGTACCTCTGCTCCCAAAAGATTACCTGCTCTAACAGAGTGACACTGACACCCCTCACAAAATTTTCCCCAGGGCTGAAGCTCTATTATAGACATTTACAAGCATTTGTATATCTTGATTAAATCTTGAGTGCTATGAATTTTATTTTACAAATTTGCATACAGTGTTCTGAACCTTAAGGGCAAATCCCTCTTGTTCAAGAGATTTTTTAACATACAAGCACAGGATCTCAGACTGTGTAAGACTGCCAGGTTTGCTTCATTTCTTCTTTAGTTAATTTATTATAGAAATAAATTCCTAGGCTTGGCATTGCTGCCTCTGCAATAAAATGACCATCTTTGAATCCTAGAGGCAAGCGGGTCTCTTAGCAGGTAGAGAAAGGGTTCTCAGATCCATGGCTTGTCTTCTTCCATTAAGAATTGCTATCCTACCCATCAGTATAAAAGTCAGAAATACAAAACACTTTTGAGCTCAAAAAACCTGTTAACATTCAGATAAGCAAGCATTAATCTTTTATTTGATGAAAGCCAGCAAAAAAACCCTTCAAGATTGTACTTACAGAATTTGATCACACAGACAGTGACATTGTTCACAGAATATGTCAAACACTCTGCCCTTTAAACAGCAGATACTAACATGGTTTTCCATTAACCTATTTTTGTTTATTATTCTACATTCAACTGCTCCCCCAACAAACTTCACTGCTGTTGAACTATACAGTGATTTCTCCAGGGCAAATGCAAGCTGTCAAATAGCTCTGGTCAAAGAATAAGAAAAGACAGCATTATATTCAGGAAGCTCAAGCTCTTTTGAAAGAGAACAAAACTAGAGTAACATGACATAGGTACAAGACAACCATAATGGCAAAACTTGCTAGGGCTCAGGTAGAAATAAGCCATCACTTTTTCATTTTTCTCTCCTTTGCAAGACTTGTGTGAAAGACATACCTGCAGTGAGATCCTTCTTAACCATACATATGCACCCACATTCTTCTAGAACAGAGTCCCTCAGGTACAACAAGTATCTAGGACTCTGTTTTGAAAAGCAAGTCATGCCCCTCAGAAGGGAGTAAACTTAAATATCTTCCCAGCCAAAGAGAAAACTGGGTGGGAAAACAGCCTTTAAAACAAAAATGGCAAGAACACTACCTAGCAAATATCCTATTTGCCTAAGGAAAAGGTGCACAGTAAGATGTGAACTGACAACACAGGTAGCTATTCTACAGTCCCCTCCATCTATACATATTCTATATATATTCAGCAATAGCATTGAAGGCTCAAAGTAGAAAAAGCTACTCAACACTACAATTATTCTAAGGACACATTAATGGCTTTCAGAAGATAAAAAACATGGAAATTCAGTCCCTGGTGGAGGTCTTAGGAACATTTTTTCATTAATAGGTCTCAGTTCCTTGTATATGCACACCAAAAAAAAACTGTATTAAAAATAATTTTTTAAACCCAATACTTGCAGCATATTATTCTGGTTATTTCTGGAATCATGCTTTGCTGTACAAAGATTGCTGCAAGCTCCAAATTAAGTATTCTCTTTTCTACGGAACACTTAAATATCAAAAAATACTGGGGGGTGTAGGAAGGGAGCCACTGGTTTCCTCTGAGGAACAGCAATCCTCCTCATTAGAATTTGAAATACCCTTTCTGAATGTTTTATTATCTTTCTAACAACCCAAAGTTGCTGGGAAGCAAGAAAAAGAAAATAAGAACAGCTTTCAGACCCCAGCACTTTTCCAAACCAACAGATTTTCTCACCTCTGCCCCTTATTTCACATGTAGGAAAACAACCAAAGTCATCATATCCTCTAAAAAAAGGATCCACAGATGAAAGCATCTCTAAGAAGCCATCTACTGTTGAGCAGCTTTCCATTAACCACAACAGTTTATCAAATTCTCAAAAATGCCATAACAAAATCTCCTAAACTGGAGACCTACAGAACTGCAGCAAGGCAAGGAGCTCTGACATGGCTTCATAAAAATACACCATTACTGCTTCCAAGATGAGTTCAGATCTGGGAGCAAAAAGTGCCTGTGCAATGCTGATCTTCAGCTAACCAAACCACTACCAGGCTCACAAAATAACACACAGAAAAATCATCTGATCCAACTACATAGAATTCACATTCAATGTAAGGCTCAAGCAGAACCCTTATAGGTCACAGAAAATTCCACATTGTGGAATACTTATTAGGAAAAGCACCACATTAGAGCACAGAATAATGTCACATCTCCCCACACCACCCTAGAGCTTCCTCTGATACCCATATTGACCAAATGTTTCTATTAGTTAAGGTACCAGACACACATCTAACCCTTTGTCAAATATTTGTACTCACCACTAACTCCTTGTTAGCTCATCTGCCCTCTCTGATAATATCCCCTAAAGCGGTTCCAGAGATGCTCCTCACACTCTTTGCTCAGGGCAATCTCTAAACCCTGCCTAAGACTCAGGAAGCATTACACAGACCCTGCACAGGGGAGCTGTGGCATCTCCCCAGTTCCCACGGTGAGGAAGGCTCAGATTCTCCAGGGCTGACTCACACCTTGTTAACAGAGGGAGGGGAAGGAGCCCAGGAGTAGCGGATGGCCAAGAGGCCCCTGCCAGCTACTCCCTGGTTGAATCCAGGCTGCCATTGCTCTCATCTTTGGCCACAGTTAGGGGGCTGGAAAAATTAATGAGAAAACAACAGGGAACAGACAACGTACAAACCATAAATACACACACAAGAGCTTCATAAGCCCAAGCATTTGTACCCCTTCTTGCCAGCTTCTGAACTCTCTGGTAGCTTGGGAATAATTCCTGTTCCAACATGCTGAGCTGGAAGCCACTGCTGCCAGTTACCTCCACGTAGGAAAGGTGTTTCCGGCAGTCTTGCTGAGAAGCCCCTGAGGCCAGGTTAACAATTTGACTATTCCCAAAGATATTCAGGCTCTCAGAACAAGAGCAAAAATTATCTTTTCTTTCAATCATTTTTCTTCACTTTCTCCTCACCCCAAGGAAAGCAGCTGACAAAAGCTTTTTGCAACTTTAAAAGAGACCAAACTGCAACACTGTAACCATTCCCAACCCGTCACAATTGCAACAGCTTCAAGCTTTGAGAGACCTGATGAAGGAAATTAGTAAAGGGGAGGGGATGATATAAATGCCATTTTCTCCTTTTTTAACATTTACAACACTCCATTTATTTCTGCACTGAGATCAGAAGTACCTCCTCCCGCAGTCCTCCCCAGTTCATGAATGTCACTTGAAGTTTGGGTCTGCTCTCACACACCAATGTTCAAAACATGAAAAGCTCAATGTGGCCCTAGAAAAGACAAATGGGAGTGGCAGCTGCTCCAAAGCAAAAAGAATGCTTGACACAATGCAACGTTAATCCCAGAAAATGGTTTCTGAGTATTTCAGAACTTAATTTGGTTTTTCTCCCAGGAAATCCTAAGGGATTTTCTACGTATTTTTCAGGGAGAAGGGAAGGAAGGTAAAAATGTAAGGACTTACAAGAGGAGTGCTAAAAGCAGTCTTAATTTCCATCTTTATCCATGAGAGAACCTAAGATAAAGGGCAAGTCCTGCAAGTATCATTTATTTCACCAGTGATACTTCACTGTTTAGAGGCCTCAGGAAAGCAATCAGAGTCTTTTTTAATGACATGCAGCTACTGCCTGGCGAAATCACAGGCAAGACCAGAGGTACCGTAAGACCCTGCAAATTAATTAAGGCAATACGACATTAATTTAAGTCCAGAACCACCAGAAACCAATTTTTCCACCCAAAAAAAATTGTCTCCAAGGACTGAAATTACAATACCTCTCACTTTCCAACGCAGAGAAGCTGAAACCTCTTTTTAATCTCATCAGTTCCTTCCCACACGCCAACATCAAGTAAACTCGACAGCAGTATGTACTTGCTATAGCTAAATATACCAGCAATATTCGAGAACCTAATTTGCAACCCTGCGAACACACGTTCGGAAAAGATGGCAGTTTGCAGGGCTTTTATGTAACGCAAATTTAAATAGAAGAAACAGCACCTGCCATTTTCTTCAATTAGCATTTCACTCGGTTGTAGGCAACTTAAATTTCCCTAAGCCAACCGCTGCGCTTCCACAGCCATTCCACGAACACAGCGGGCACAATTTATCCGTTCCGAGAAGTCACTCGGACAGAAGAGCAGCGGTTTTAGCCAGGCAAGCCCCGTCCGCGGTGCCTGCAGGGCGGGGGGCCGGGCGCGCCCTGCCCGCCGGGCGCTGCCGAGGACGGCGCGGCCCTTCCAGGCGCTCCGGCCGCCGTATCATGTGCCCTTCAGGCATCGCCCCGCGCCGCGCCGAGGCAGCCCGGGCTCCCCGCAGCCCCCCGCGCCCGCGGCCAGGGGAGGGGCGGCCGCCACCATCTTGTCAGCCGCGTCCCCGGGCACAAAGGGAGGGCGAGAAACCCCCCGCCCCCGGGACCGAGCCGGGCGCCCCCAGCCCCGACTCACCTCCAGGCGCAGGGAAGCGCCGCAGCCCCGCAGGAACTCGCGGATGTTGCTCAGGCACTCGCCCTCCGTCCGCGGCTCCGGGTACACCTGCAAGAGAAGAGGCGGGCGGCTCAGCGCGGGGAGGAGACGGGAGCGCACCGGAGCGGAGGGCGTCCCCCGCCGCGCCGCTCCCCTCACCTCCCGCTCCCTCCGCAGGCAGCGGCGCCGATCGCTCCCACTGGAGGCTTTGAACCGGGAAGTAAACACGGAGCACAGGAAATGGCGTGCGAGGGCGGGGGGCGGCGGGCAGGAGCGCGGGCAGGGGTGCCCCGGCCAGGCGCGGTCGCGGCGGCTCTGCCCCGGGGGGCGGGGCCCGCCCCGGCTGCGGGCGGGAGCGGCCTCGGGCCTCGCCGCGCCGCGCTTCTGAATTGTTCAAATTGCTGCTGCACGGACCCCAATGCCTCAAATTGCTGCTGTACAGGCCCCCGAGCCGTGACGGGCTTGGCGGCAGGGCCCGCGGGCAGCCGGGCACAGCCCCTCCCGGGACAAGCCGTGACCGCGATCAGGGCGCGAGGCGCACGCCGCGCGTGGCCGGTGTCGCCAGCGGGGCTCGTCGGTGCCCTCGTTCTGACTCCGGTCCACCCTTGGGTGTCGGTTTGCTAACGAGGAATTATATCAGAAATGCTCCGAAGACCTCAGCGGAAAATAGCAGCAGCCGGAGTTAATAATCTACCAATTTCAGGGTCTGATGTTAATGACCTTTATCCGTGGTTTATTAAACAGCCCCTTCCCACCCCAGAAGAAAAAACAACGTCACACAGAGTAAAACCTTGACTCAATCTGAGACAGTTTTTGTCAACGCAGCCATCTGCTCTCTGCAGCCGCGCTCACGGTGCCTTCAGCTCACCTCTGTAGACCACAAAAGCAAAGTGTAGCCCTTCCATGGAAAAACAGCCTGCCCCAAGGGCTTCGGGGACATGGCTTCACTTACCACAGCTTAACTAAATTCTGTGTGCACGTTAGCATCCTTTCACAATACATTCATTGATTTCTGTGAAGTAGTTCAGCAAACAAGTCATTGCCCAAACTGGACACCTCATTCTGTCAGAAGGGGAAAGCCTAGCACTGAAGGGCACTGGCAAGTCGCTGGAAACCGAGGTGTTGCAACACAGTGTCACGGCCTTTGATCATGCATTACACTCAGAGGAGGTTTGGTTACACACATGTGTCAAGGTTACATAAACTCATAGCATAATCCACCTGCACAGCACTGGGAACTTCACAAAAGGTTAACTCCAAACATTGTGTCAAGCTGAAACCAAGGTAGTGCCTTCCTGCATGATTATAAGATGTTAAAGGTACCCCTGACCCACAGAGGTACTTTTTGATACAGAATTAGTACCACAGAAGTAATTTTTGATACCACAAAAATTAACAAATGTGACAGCATGACAGGGTGAACCTGGCACAAAGAAATTTAAAACACAAGTCACTATCATTTTCTACACAAAATTCAGATGAGTCCTAAATGAAAGCCACTAGTCTGTAATACAAGGAATTTGATAATGATATGAGTTGAAGAATCTTCCTTTCCTCAAGGAAAGAGCACACACACACCCCTCCAAAATCCTCACATTGTTTGGTACCATGATAAATCACTGTGGCTTAAGAATAACCCTTTATTACACTAAAACATAAAGGGAATCCTAAAGAAGCCCTATGGAAGGACTACAGCTCAAAAGATAAATTCAGTAAGTTTGAAGGACACAAGAAGTGAGAGAGCCTCCCTGAAAACACCACAACCTTCATGTCTGTTGCTTGAAACACTTTTTGATTACTATATTAATTTATTTCTTAATTCTAGTAAGAAATCCAAAGCTATCACGCCAACATCCCTTGTTAGAATAAGATGCTGGGAATTTTTTCCATGTTGATGCTTCCAGTATGTTCTCTCCTATATAGTCTTAATATTCACACAATAATATCATTACAATTTAGAACTGTTTTATCTTAAACTAATTGCATAAGGGGTTTATCTCCTTTTACATGTGCTACTTCATTGTCTCTTTTTTGTACCCACCATTTTCTTTTTCATCTGCTGTTTTATCTTAAACTAATTGCATAATAACTGGGGTTTATCTCCTTTTACGTGTGCTACTTCATTGTCTCTTTTTTGTACCCACCATTTTCTTTTTCATCTACTTTATTCATCAAGGCCTCTTTTCATTCTGAGAAACCTTAACATTACTTCTGCTCTTCAAACACGAATAATGTCTCCCAAGAAATCACAGTAAATCCAGGTTTCTATTAAAAGAAGCACATCTTGTCTCATAACATAATCCACATTAACACAAAAAGTCCCAAAGTCTCCGACACATTAAACTCAGTAATTTTAAGAAACCCAGACATGTACTACCACCTCATAAGAGGCTGCACATAATTCATAAAAGACTGAGCAACAACTGGAAAAAAGAAGCCAAAAATAAAAATTTAAAAAAGGGTTAGCGGGAAGAAAGGACAGAGGGTAAGGAGAGACATGATTAGAGAAAGGCAAAAACTTTCAATTGAAGATTAAAGGAACAAGCAAAGAAAACTCAAACCCAGCAAATTGTTCCTTACCAGGTATGGAAGCTTAAAAGACATGCCAAATACACCACTGAGACCTTAGCCACTCCAACACTCTAATGCACGTTTTCAGTTAAAAATCATCTTCCTCTAAACAATAAAATAAGTTACAGTAAATCTTTAGAAATATCATTTCTTCCTTCAAAACAAGGGAAAAGACTTTGGAGTGATAAAAGAAGCAGAGTACATTTTCTCAGTTCTGTGGCTGCAGCAGCATTTTTATACAACAGAAGACAGAAGCATATGGGTAAAAGATTTAAAAATATCTTAGCATTTGCATCCTGCTAGAAATGTAAAGCATTAATGATCCCGAAAACTGAAGCAAACCCGATATTTACCTGGAAAATCTTAATGTGATTCTGGCAACCTTCTCCTACAGACAGCTGAGAAACACAGTAAGGGACCTGAAGAACAAAACCAGCCCTGTGACAGAATGTTGAAGTGCAGTTATGTGGGCCAGGCCCGTGATAAAATCACACATACGGTACATTATATCCTTTGTAGTTACAGGAAGCTCAGGAGCATGACCTCTCACACAGATCACATTTATAGCCTCACAGACTATTCAAAATGTACCAGAACATCATGCAAGCAGACCGCAGGGAGGTAAGTCCTGATACACCTGAAAGACAGCTAATCTGTACAGAGACAAAGGATAAATAAAAGTAGGGTCGTATTCCCAAATTTCTTAGCTTAATAAAAGCTGCATGTATGTAAAGCCAGTGAAGTGAAGAGGTTATGTATTTTCCTCTCCGGTATTTGCTTCATCCTTTTCCTATCATAGACCAACACTATTAGTTCATTAATGGGGGTTGTCTACTTGTTATATGTATACACAGCTCTTAGTACAAAGAGGCCTCAGTGTCCAACTGGAATCTCTGTGTGCTTTAGTAATACAGATAAAAAAAAAGGTTAATAGTAATTAGAAAATTCTATTCCAGAGGGGCATGACAGATTCTTAATTAGGGACCAGGGTGCCAGGGTGGAATCCAAAGAGACAAGAGGAAGGTAATATGCAGAGCAGCCACTGTTTAAACTACTTTTTTGTGGTTCAGGGACAGGTTCTGATTAAGATTTAATCTCTTGGGGAGCAGTGCTAGAAACCACAGCTAGTTCAATGAGGACACTTATGTGATGCACTGCAGCTATCAAGGAGCAGAGTACATTTCTCACCATCCAGAAAAGGCGGGGAACAATGTGCAATGCAAATAGATGGTACCTAGCTAAATGTTACCTCCCTTTAGATCAGTTTAAATCTATGGTTTTAAACAACATAACGAGTGAATGAAAAAGGGCAGTGCGGAGAGGCTGCATCGGGAAAAGGTATGACAGGGGTGGTCTTAGAAAAAATGAAAAAGGCTACTATTAGTTCATTTGGACAGGGAAATTATATTAAGAAAATAAGCAAGGAATGTATACAATAATGAATAAATAAAATTAAAAAAGAAAACCCAACAAGCAAACCCACAGCTCTTTGATTGCAATCTCAAGTAAACATGAGACATTAATAAAAAGTAGGAGACATCTTCAGCTATATGTATGGGAAATCAGCTGTTTACTTGCATTCACTGCTGAACAAGTTGACAAACTGGGTCACAGAACAAGAAGTGTACAAAGCCTTTATATAGAAACTGGAATCTACAAGGTAGACTGAGTAAGAACACAGTTCCTACATGCAAGTTACACCAGTTAATTATCTAGTACAACATGTAAGTACAACATGGTTTAGTATGTAAGAAGACTATCTCAGTAACTAGAAAGCAGAAACTAATAGAAAATGTAACCTAGTTGCAAACTAGTAGCCAAGTTCAGTAAACACTTAAAAACATCCTGTTCAGGTGAACAGCTGTTTGAGCCTGAACTTCAAAGACTGAGCCCTTAAGTAAGGGGAAATCCTGTTCATCCTGCCCGGACCCTTTTGTATCAGATTCCCCTCACAGCACAAAACAGTTTTCTGTCCATGTTTCAGAGCACCTTGTACACACAGAGCATTACTGCAATCTAATCAGTAAAAATACCATAATTGCACAATGCAGCAAAGCTAACAAAAGGGTCCTATTGATCACATTCAGTCCCACAGCAGCTGTGTTTCCCTTGCTTCCAACCCCTTTGACTGGTCAAGGGCAACTGATCATCCAGTGGGGCAAACACCTCCTGCACAAGCACTACAGGCTGGGATTTGTTGCCAGGGTTTGTGTTCAGGGACAAAAATGAGATGAAAAGCATCACGAGGAGGAAGCCTGGCCATTCTCACAGCGGTGAAGCTGCAGGCGAGTCACTGTCCAGCATCTCCTGCCGGCTCCTGCCTCGCCAGCCCTCCCAGCTCTGCCTCCTGCCTGCACAGCCCATCCCTTCCGGCGTTCGGCTTTCCTGCCCTGTCCCGGACCACTGGCCCTCACAAATTGCACCCAGCAGGGATGGAAAAGAGAGACTGGTTACACAGTTACACAGGAGGACGCCCTCTGCTTCTCGAGGAAGCATCC